AGGGTTTAGGGTAGGTAGTATTAGGGGAACCCCTTAAAGGGTACCCCTTCTGAAACCCTACTTTTGGCTCTCCTAAAAGGGACCTTCTTGAGAGGGTCTATATCCCCAAGGGTCCCCCGTATCCTAGCTCCCATGCAGTAACCATCGAGGGAGTCTGTAACAGTTAAACCTGCTCTCTAGGTAGCCTGGGTAGTGAAGGGTTGTAAGTGCTATAACTTATAACTGTTCTGGGGGCTTTCAGGGAAGTTAGGGCATAAAGCCCAACATGCTACAAACATGGCGCAATCCTCAAATCAGAATAAGAAGCCGCTTTAAAAGGAACGGTACTTGGTTGAGGGCATTGGGCGCATTGGGCTTAGGCTTGCTCGCGACCCAGAGACTCCAATACCCCTTAATTAAGGAATAAACCTTACATCATATTACGGATCCTCCTATAATTTAAGGTACATTCCTTAATTGAGGGGTATTGGAGTCTCTGGGGACCATGGGCTTGCATGCAGGCAGCATCCTGGTCACCATTGCATCCTCTGAGAACTGCGAAACCCTAAACCCTACATCCTAAGCTTTAAGCCTTAAACCCTAAGCCTTAAAGCCTAAACTCAAAACCCCAAATCCTAAACCTTAAACCCTAAACCCTAAAGCCTAAACCCTACATCCCAAACCTTAAACCCTAGACCTTAAACCCTAAAGCCTAAGCCCGAAACCCTAAAGCCTAGTCCCTAAATCCCGAAACCCTCAGGTCTCAGCCACAAACCCTAAACCCTAGATCCCAAGCTAGGTTTTAGGGTTTAGGGTTTAGGGTTTAGGGTTTAGGGTTTAGGGCCCTACATCCCTAAACCCAAGTACCATAGGGGCCGGAAAAAAACACCTGCTATATTACCTCTGGGTTTCGGCCCTAGGGTTTAGGGTTTAGGGTTTAGGGTTTAGGGTTTAGGGTTTAAGGTTTAGGGTGTAGGGTTTAGGGTTTAGGGTTGTTCTAATTATCAAGGCCTTTGCATGAAGTACTACAGGGCCTGAGCCACTGCCTAGACTATTTCGGAAGCTCCTTATGATAATTGTAGTATAATATACCCCAAGACCCTTTTCCTAATTTTTTGTAGGCCCCTATATTAAACCCCTAAACCCAAGTAAGCATAGAAAACCCCATTCCAACCATTAAGGTCCTGTGTTAAGCCCCCGAAACCCAAGTAAGCCTTCACATCCGAGTGCTAAAGTCCTGCAGACCTCTGGGTGCTTTAGCCGAGGCTTCTGCTTGCCTTCCAAGGCTGGATGTGGGGAAGTTTGCGGTTTCCTTCGGCTTAGGGCGTTGGGCTTGGGGGTTTAGGGTTTGGGATTTGGGAGTTTAGGGTTTAGGGTTTTCCGTGGCTTAAGGTTTTAGGTTTGGGGGTTTGGGGTTCAGGGTTTTGGGTTTGGGGTTTAGGGTGTTCTATGGCTTAGGGTTTTGGGTTTGGGGGTTGAGGGTTTTGGGTTTGTGGTGCAGGGTTTTCTATGGCTTTGGGTTTAGGGTTTTGGGTTTTGGGTTTGGGGTCTTGGATTTTCTTTGGCTTAGGGTTTAGGGTTTGGGGTTAGGGGTTTAGGGTTTTCTATGGCTTAGGGTTTTGGGTTTGGGGCTTGAGATTTAGGGTTCCCACGGCTTAGGGTTACGTGGATCAGGGGTTCAGGGTCGCGGGTTCAGGGTTTAGGGTTCTAGGCCGGTATAGTGTAGGAGCCGAGTTTGTGGCTGACCCTCGCAAGTGGTGGAAGAGCGCCGGCAAGTTCTTCTGCTACTAATCCTAAACCCTGGACCCTAGACCCTAAACTGTGCATATATAGAAATTATGTTATTACCCTAAACCCCTAAACCCTAAACCCTTAAACCCTAAACCCTAAACCCCTAAACCCTAAACCCCTAAACCCTAAACCCTGAACCGAAACCCTGAACCCTAAACCCATTATATGTACCTCAGTAACCTACTGTTTGGGTAACTGGAGCCCTGGGGACACCCCAGGCCTACAAGGGCGGCGTCTTGAAGCGAGGAGAGAACCGGGGCTCGGGGCTGCCGCCTGTGTGGGTTTGGCAGGGTTCCGGGTTTAGGGTTTAGGGTTCCAGGTTCCGGGCGTAGGGTTCAGGGTTTAGGGTTTAGGGTTCCGGGTTTAGGGTTTAGGGTTCCAGGTTCCGGGTGTAGGGTTCAGGGTTTAGGGTTCAGGGTTTAGGGTTTAGGGTTGCGGGTTCAGGGTTTAGGGTTCAGGGTTTAGGGTTCCGGGTTCTGGGTGTAGGGTTTAGGGTTCCAGGCAGCTCCAGGTAGGGTTTAGGGTTCCGGGTTCGGGTTTAGGGTCTAGGGTCTAGGGTCAAGGGATAGTTGTTAGGACTTCATTGGGTCCTTGCAGGGTTGGCACCGGGTTCGCTGGGGTTTGCGCTAGGGTTTTTGTGGGGGTTTGAAGGGGTTTGTGGCTTCCGGTTGTAGGAGTTCGATTATTTGTTTGTTTGTTTATTTGCTCATTTTGTGACTCGGGCTCAGGCAGGTGTCGGCAGAAGAGGGCGAGAGTAAGGTCTACAGAAAGCCAACAACGAGAGCCCCAAAGCATAGCCAGTCCTCTTTCACCACGAGGACTGAAGCGCTTCGCCGAGATTATTACGACGCCCGTGGGCCAGGTGTGGCATTTTGGCACCTGAGGTTGTGAAGTTGGGTTCCCCATCTACTAGCGCATGTTCGAAACCGTTAGTGGCAAGAAGCCCGAATCACTCATCCCGAAGCACTTGGCCCAGTCCCGATTTATCTAAGCCCTAAATTGCTTTCTGCACTGTGCTCTTGAGATATGTGCCTGTTTGGCTGTCTTGCCAACGTGCGGTTATGTTTGTGGTGCATAGTGATCTATCTTGCTGTGGCATAGGTCTCAGTGCTAGCAGGGGAAAGATTTTCGCAGTTTGGTCCATTCAGGCCTAAACCGTAAGGTGGGGTTCAGCACCTGGTAGCCAAAATACAGTAAACACCAAAACGACACTCTGGACCCTAAGCAACAGCCTGGACAGATCGTCACCTTCGCAGTCTTCCTTGGCGTGGCCATTGCGGGAGTCTACGGATCCACACTGATCTACAAGGACGATGCGCCGTATTTGGGTAGGTCGTACGTAACGTGTAAATAATGTGTAAAGGAACCGAAAAGGAAGAGGAATCCAAGAAAGCCGAAAAATGTCGTTTTTGATTTAAAGCACATTCATGAACTCATGATACAAAAGTTAAGGAACTGTGTCTTGGACAAGCGGGTACGGCACCCCCGGGATTCTCCATCCCGTCAGGACTTCAAGCTGGAGTGGTTCATTCCGGACTCCTCTTACGTGCCTTCCAGCCGCAGCTTTCGGGGACTTTGGGGTTCTTTGAGGTTTAGGGACTCGAGATTCTTAGGGTTTAGGGTTCAGGGCTTTCTACCCCGTCAGGACACAGTCGGACGTGCGATAAACAGACGGAGACGAAGACACGCGGAAGTATGCGTAAGGGATTGAGCGACGAATGGTAGTTCACAGCTGTACCAGTCTTGGCACAACAAGCGGCACTAGCAATCGCAGTCGTAATCACAGCTGTGTGCTTAGCAGCCGCAAGGCCTCACAACCCCGAATCTCAAAGCCAACATGCTCAACCGACTGGGCATAACAACGGTCCCAGGAACAATTTCTTTAACATCAACAGCGAGTACTTCTCCACAGGCGGGATATATTGAAACCTTCCCCTTGCTTCAAGTTGCAGGATCGAGGCGAGGACTTTCAAAATTTACGGGGTTTCGGGCAAGGGCATCCACAGCTTCGAGTCTAAATTTGCAGGGTTCATATAGGGTTTAGCAAAGGGTTGGCTCTGTAAACTTTGAGTTGAGGCCATGCCTTGCTACTGTTATGGCTGTTCGTACTGTTACGTGGTCGTCTCAGCAGACCAGCCCCATATGTCGCAGACTCTTACTCGTATGATAAGTCACGCGGACCGGAGCTGCATCAGAGCTTTCGCTAGAAGCGCATGTGCCATTCTCTACGATAAGGCTCCTTTTTGGATCCCGAGACAGGGTGTGGACTTCAATTGATGAGCACCCAGATGCAACAGGCACTGCCATCACTGTGAACTTCCCTGGCGCATTGGATGCCTTTGACCAGCAGCAGAATCTGCCGCTTGTGCGCACGGACGCTTCTGAACGCCAGTAGCTGAGCCCCCACAGCGAATTTCTATTTAACGCAGCTTTGGGAGCCGGTGGATTTCAGGATTCTCGGCTCGGGCCCTGGGAGGCTTGCTATCTACGGTCGAGTGCCCTCCGATGCCGCGTAGTCTTTCCGCGCCAGGGTGCCATGGAGGTGGCCTTGCAAAAATGCCGAGACCACCATTTCCGATGGATAGGGTTGCTTAATATCATGAGACTATACTGAACCCCGAGACCCTGTTCTGATTATTCAGGCCTGCACATCAGGGGTTGGGCTCTCAGGCCTTTCAGATATGGGAGTTTCAGAAACTAAGGGGTACTGTATTTGGGGTCCTTATAGTAAGGGATCCTACTATTTGGGGTATTTTTCTCAGGGTCCTCTGTTTTCGGAAACCCCCCATATGCTGGGCGACCTGACTCTGAGATCTCACGAGCTCCCCATCCCAGGCACGACGTCTACTCGTACTTGAACTCTTCGAAGCTCATTAACAAGGACTTATTGGCTGTAAACTCAAC